GGCACCGACAGTTTTAAAACCAGGAACATGGACAAACCGTCGGCTGATTATATTATAGAGATATATCAGCCTCCTCCTCAGGCGCTTCGTCTTTCGCAAGGTAGAGGCGAGCGACTGGTAATGAGCCGCCGCAAGGGACCATGGGAAAGGTACAGACGACAGGGGGGAAGCCCGTTGTCTCCTTCCCGCCTTCCTTTGCGCGCACATTTTCATCGGGAGAGAGACGTCTGGGTACGAGGCAGCAGACTAATGCTGCATATGCTAGTGGAATGACTCGTTTTGGACTATTCGTTATCGGTTCGTTATCTCGACACAAAAAATGTACACATTAGGGTATTTATATTAGACATGCGTTTTGGAAATCGGTTCTAACTATTCGGCATCCAGTTCTGAATTTGTTACAGCTTTTGTTTCTTGGAATGCAGGGAAAGTCCCAGATTTTTCCACATCTGATAAAGGCACGAAAGGGCGGCTGACTTCGAGGTAAGTAGCTTGGTTTATAAAAAATAAATTCATCTTAGCTTATCTTTTTCTATTTCATATATCTTACTTGAGATTTTAATTTTCGCAGTTTCCTGAATTGCGATTGTGTATAACAGAATCATAAAACTCGACCTCGATTAGTAGGGATCGTTTGTCGTGTGATTTCAAAAGTTCGAAGCAACTCTTTGAAGAGCTCATACAATCAGTTCAAATCGTTTTGCCTTTACGAAATAGATTCTCTTAACAGAAAAGCTTATAAATATTCCCAGTTGATACAGACATGTAACGCTGGGTAGATATTGAAATCAGCAAACAAAAAACCCTACGTCTATTTCATGCATGTTAATTAAACTGCGTATTCCTTTCTTGGTTTCGTTATCAGCTAATCGTAAAATGCGTAGAGTCCTAAAGCTTTATTGTACTTCACTATACTCTTAGAGATAGATTTCCTGGTAAGCTCTTGGTAGTGTAGCATAAATATATGTTACAAAGATAAATCATTTCCGTTTTTTTTTCTAATGTTTGTGTTGGAGCATGTTAGTCCTTTTCACTTTCTTGGAAAGCAAAACAGTTCCAAATGTCGTTCCTTTTGAAGGGTTAATATTGTTGGAATTAGGTTTGCAGAGCGTAAGTGTTATAATACGTCTCGCTACCGCTACATTCGATTGCTGGGTTCGTTAACCTTGCCCAGCGAAACAGCCGTTGAGGACTTCATAGCACGTCAGGCGCCATAAACTTCCTCGGAGGAAAGTGAATAGTTTGAGTTCCCCTTACTACCGAGAAAAATTCCCAATATTCGCTTGCGGTCAATAAATCCCCGCGATTTCCATTTTCATACGCGCGCTCGACGATCTTAAAAGAGAAAATAGAGGATATAGGAACAGGCTAGCCTTTCCCAAGTTTTAGAGATTTCCAGGCAATATTTGCTCCTTCCAGCAAATTTTATAGAAAAAAGTCGTTGGGTGCCCCAGGTATGAAAGTTCTAAACGATTCATCAGTAGGACGTGCTGGCTCGCGACACGTCGTGTATGGTAGTTTTGTTTTCCCGTGAGTCCTGATGTTTGTCGAGGGAAACATCAGGACTCGAGGGAAAACAAAACTAACTGGTTCCCCAAGGGACCTGATATTAAGTGCAGGTTGTTATATTTCTAGACTTTCACTTCCGAGCAACAAAAGAATAACAAGAGCGAACCAAAACAGTCGTCTCGGTACTTTAATATAACAACACAAATTTAATTCTCAAAACCACTGAATGAATTATTTAAAAAGTCCTTTGCTTATATTATCTGCATCGTTTTCCTCCAATAGCTGCTGTTTTTCTTATGGGAATTTCTGGGATAACTTTAAAAATCGTTGCTTTTTAATTATAATTAGCTTGAGGTTTTGTGTTTGTGTTGTTGTGTTCATTCACGAAAAAGAAAACTGGCAGTGTCACACCACTTTCCCATCCTCGGAGACCCAGGGGCAGTGTGGTTAGACTTTCCCTCGCCCCCACTATCTGCCCCTGGGACTCCGAGGATACCACTTTCCACCAGCGGGGTACTTTGCTAAGTCAAGGCACGTGACCAATAATCAACCAATGGCAGTCCCTGTTTAGTTGAGTGAAAGTCTAGCAATATAACGAGGGGCTTTATTCTTTACTGCAGGGACAGTCTCAGAGTTTTTCCATTTTCACTTTCCTTTTGGTACTTCTCCTTCTCGATCTGGTGAGACAGATTTCTTGGTGAGTACGTTGATCTAGCCATTTACATTTCCTAGATTAAGATTCGAATATTCAGTGTCAGTTCTTGAGATGCCAACGAGGAAATTAGTAGAGAGAGTTGTTTGTTTCCGGTCGTTCCTTCTTCTCGGAAAGCGAAACGATTTCTTGTTGATGATCGGTGGTAGAGCAAATTAAGATTTCTTTCGTTGCGATTTCTAAATACTGGCAGACTCTACATCAACAAAAGATTTTGAGAACTTGATTACAAGGACAAAGGCTACTTTAAGAGCGATTTTCTGTAAAATTCGAACTTCGGCCTGACATGGTACCCCATCGATTTGGCTGATTTGACCCTTTGTCTCACGTATTGCGGAGAAAGCCGGGAGAAAGCCATGACTCTGTCGTTATTTTACCATTAGAATGCTTGGACAGTACGAGTCTATGCCATCGCACCTAACTGTCAGCAGTCCGAGCCAATTCTCCTCGGATCGAGACATTGTGAATATCAGTGACATCGCAGACATAGCGTTTTTGTTTCTTGGAATTCAGGGCAACTCAGCGATTTTTTTCAATTTCGGTTTCATCACACTAGTTAAGAGGCACGGAAGTCCAGTTGAGGTTTGACGTTTGGTTTATACTGCTTTCAGTCGTCATTTCACCAGACACATAACGAGCAGGGGCACCGAACGACAATTTTCGGAAAATATCTGTTCGGAAGACGATTTGAGATCTAGAATTTTCGGAACATTTGTTGTAAAACTTCTTGCTTGCCTGCCTCTCTTAAGATTTTCGAACATCTAAATAATGGTATTATTGCCTATTTAAAACGGATTTTTACCCGAAAAAGGTAACCTAGAATTTTCGGGAGCCTTTTTTATGGATGAAATTTTCGAGAAGGTAAGTTTTGATCGCTATAATTTTCGGATCACTAGACTTTCAGCTAGGAAGTCCGAACAGATGAGAAATTTTTAGGGGATGAAAATATGCCTATATCTACCGTTTAAATTCTAAAATACGTTTAACAATGCTATGTTTAAGTGGTTTGAACTATATTCTCGTTGGGTGCCCCTGAACGAGTACATAAATTAAGAGTGCAAGAAAAGTCAGTAACGCCCTAAACGCTACAGACCGTGAGGAAGGTATTTTCATTCAGCTAGCTTTTGTCTATAGCTTGAGTTACTTGTTCAGGGACGAGCTCTCAATTCTTTTTCATATGATGTGACCAAATAGATTCATTGCTGGCGTAAACAGTTAAGAAGTCATTACCCAGCGAGAACGATAAAACTCTAGTTTTCACGCTTGCAATAGACTCAGTTATCTGTTGGTAAACGTTGGTAGAAAAAGGCTTGAGCTGCATTCACCTGGTTACAAACATTGGCCCAGTCTGATAGCGCTAATCCCCAACTGATTTTCAAAGTGGGAGTACACAAAAACAAAATGTAAACAGTGTCAAAACATGACAAAACTGTGCTTCATCAATGTAAATTATATATACAATCCAATAGAAAGCAGCTTTTGTCTGTATTCATGGTTATCTCAGGTTATTTGAGCATATTTCACATGATCTTCGTATAAGGAATAAGTGAATTTTCGGGAAAAATAAAGATACATTATTCAAGTACATTTATTCATATTCAAACCAAATTTTCGAATATTCAAACTAATCTAAAGTCAATATTCAAGATTCAATATTCTGCTTCCACCCCCGAAACCATTTGAACACCAAATAGAATTTCATTTTGGTTGTATGATCCCCGTTTGGGTAGAACTAGTCGATCCGATGATAGCTAAGTGTCGGTAGTCCAAGCGAATTCGGCTCCGACGAGATTTTGTGAATATAAACGCCCGGCTATCAGTGACGTCGTTATGGACAAAGCGGTTTTGTTTGTCGCAATTTTAGGGAAAGTCCTGGACAGATTTCCATAATATGTCACAAACAAACTTCATTTCAGTTTTTTTAATAAAATGTTTGTATGCGAGGATGGTACTTCTTTTTACTTTCTAAAAAAGCGAAACAGTTTAAATTTTCGTTCGTTTTGCGTGCTGTAATATTGGCGAAACGACTCTTTTCCAAAGAAAGATTTTGCTAAGATTGTTTTGACTAGTTTGAGACAAATAATGTAAATTTGCGTTATTTAAACTCGCTATTATCAATTTGGTTTTCAGTTAAGTGGTTTTCACATCATCATTTTATAATATAAACTAGCCGAGTAAAATAATAATACTGCTAAGCTGCATGTTGCCATTTTCTCATTCATATCTGTCAGTGCATCATGCAGTTTTTTAAAATATCTTGGTAGGGCAGGGCAGAAAAACCGCTGATTGGTTAAAAAAAATTCCACCGAGAGCATGCGCTTGCGCCTTCCGCTGACCATATGCAGATGCAGTTGGTTCAAAAGAATGAGCGATCCGAAGGAGCTACAATCGAGCGATCATGAATGTGGGATGTTTGGCCGAAAATTGAAGAGCACTGTGTTGAAATACATCACTGAAAGGCCTTGTACATAATAGTATCATTTTGTTTTGCTTCGCTTTGGAGGTAATATTTGTGATTGTATTACGTTAAACGGACGGAGTCGTGCCAAGCAAACCATGTGCTTTTTTCGATCAACTTTCTTCTACGCGATTGTTTGGTTTTCCTGCAACAAGTCTCGGTGATCCGATAGTTACACAACTGAGTTTAAAGGTAAGGCATTTTTCGTCTTTGACATAGTGAACGTTTTTAGAGTTAATGAGTTAACCGAAATTTGCATTGGATGCTATTTATCCTCCACGAGATTGCGGCGGTGCAGCGTGCGCTGCGTGCAGACGTATAATGCGGCACCTAACAGTTGGCGAAGCTATTGCTAAAAGTAACCAAACTTCCGAACAAAATAGCACTTCATAGCACCCTGAGTTACAAGTTTAATGGGCTTTTGATTCTAGGTTATATATATCCACACTGTTCAATGAATTCCTTGGTGTGAATTGTTTACATTGTTCCGCTAGAAGCGAAATTATTTTTTTGTACGCGTTGTCCAATTTGTAATTTCTTTAGATCAATTTATACCAACTGATTTATACAGTTAATAACTTTGTTTTTGGGCTGATATAGATTTGGAATGATTTTACTGTACAAAATTAGGTTGTTTTAAGAAAGGTGAAATTTTAAGGATGAATTTTTAAGCTTACATCTATCCAGAATTAGCAGAGTTATACACAATCCTTGCCCATATACAATGTGATATTTTGAAGTGAAAATCTTATTATATTTACATGTTCAAAATAACATCGAATATTTTGAAGACACTATCTTACTCCTGTACATCACATTGTCCCTTATTAGTATTCTCGACAGGACGATCACTATATTTTTCTCACTGGCATAGTACTTGGGCTGAGTTAATCTTTTATCATGCAAAGTTCTCATATAATATTGTATGGACCAAACTCCAAATGCAAGCACAAGATCACTTGTTTGTTATCTAGCTAGTTGCATTGTTTTGAGATACCTATAGCAAGACAAAGGCAACAACAAAGGCATTGTTTAAGGTTTCTCTCCTGTGTTATCATGCCTATTCCTATTCAAGGTATTTTACATGAAACAAAGGGCTTGTATTATTTGTTTGGATTTGCTTCTAAAAAAGGAAATGATTATTGTTTTGTTATTCTCATTTCAGGGAAACACTTAACTATTTACCCCTTTGTGGGTGTTCTGATGCTGAGTCAAGCCCCCTTTGCTCTTACAGACCCTGCCACATGTGACACACACCATACTAGTATTAACAATTACTGCTTCTCCAGTAGAGTCGGTGGAGTTTACATTCTTGGAATTTTTGTTGCTGTACTTAAATAAAGCACTTTGTGGAAGATGCAAAAGGGATTGTTTTGCTTTAATGAGTATCTTATTTGCTAGTGTATCAGGTTTGCCATCATCATCATCACTGTCATCATCATCTGAGTTGTCACTTCCATCATCATCATCGTCGTCATCATGATTATCATTGCTTCCGTCAGTTTCATCATTTCCTGCCAGTAAACCTTTGTTGAAACTGTCTGCAAGTTCTTGGATTCTTAAAGGAAGTTGCTCAGAGCAAATGGGGCACTTGACACCATACAGTATCGAGTAGTTATGATCGTTACAGTTTGAGGAACTACCAAGACAACTTTTGTGAAATGTGTGGCCACAGTTGAAGCGCTGAACTGCAAGTAGGAGATTGTCATCTGCTCTGCAATCTGCATCATCACAAGCCAACAGTGGGTCTAGTTCTTGACCCTTCCAGGCATACCCTAAGGGGAAGCTTCTTGTTGTAGTACCATGTTGGCCAATCACCAGCTAAGAGCAGTAGGTTCTTTTCCATGTATTCGCTTAGTGATCGGCAAACTTCATTGAGGTGCTGCATTGCTTGTCTATAATTTGCCATGCTCTTAAGGGACTGTTCAAATTAAATCAACTAGCCAAGTGTTGGACAGCAAATCCAAGTCATGTCTGGCCTCATCTGTATACACTCTACAAGGTATTTGTTATTGTTTGTATCATGAAACATTGTACATGCTCTTTTTTGGCACCCTTATGCAACATTTTTTGAAAGTCAATTATCCATTCAATATTAAATTTTCCATTTCAAATTCCTACATTGTGAGACAATGCAAAGTGGTATGTGGAAAAAATTTATGATGGGCTGTATGTAAAACTAGTTATTGACATTGGGAGTTGCCAATTTCATTTTTGAGGGGGAATTTATAATAAAGATATTTATGGTGCCAGTTAATCGTAAAATTTCTGTGGCATTGATTTATGCCAAAGTGTTAAATGGCATGAAAAGTTTGGATGAAATACATTACTAAAATCTATTACTTAAAAGTGTTATATTATTCTTTTTGTACAAGCTTGTGGCACCCAATGACTATTAGACCACTACCTTGACTTTTAGGTTTCTGATTTGTTGTAAATCATACCTTAATTCAACTAAACTTTTGTTTACATTTGTCAGGTCAAACTGGCTGAAATCAGCAGGTAGAGAGTCTAAATAACTGAATGTAAAATAATTTGACAAATGCTCTTGGAACAACTCGTTCACTTTGTTGGCATCAATTCCTCCCGACAGTTAACAATTGCACCCCAGCAATTCGGACAGGTACAACCCGTGGACATTTCTTGTTGTTGGCATTGCCGGTATAGATTCTTGGTGATCCACTACTCCAGTACACATGTGAAGGCACTTGCTCAGCTGGCTCTGTTTGGGGTCTTTTATAGACTGGACACAATGAAAATCATCTATAATGAGCAGGAGGAAGTTGTTGTTCTGTTGGGGAGGAAATTTTTAACTGGATCAGTGTACATCTATGGACTGATAAATTAAAGTCATTTTACTTAAACCGTGAAACAGGTAGAAGAATACTATGCACTATTATGTATTAATTCCATTGTTTTCTTCTGTTTACCTCTTGCTATTTTTGCACTATTTGTTATTACTTATCTGTTTCACGGTTCAAATAAAATCACTCTATTTTTGTTGTTTTTGTCTCCTTGTTACAAGGTCCTTGTGCCTTCTATTTAGCCCCTGCTTCTTTACATCCAGCCACCTCACCTTGTGTCAACTTATTGTTTTGGCCAGGGTGTTGTGCAGTGGCAGATGTTTAATAATGAATTGTTTCAGTACGTAAATACATGTACCTTTATGGCACTCTCAACGATCGCTTGTGTCTTGTGAATGCTTTTTCCAGACAATCCTTTTTTATGATTTAGCACACTTCTCGGGTGAGTGCTAAACCCTAGAAGTGAGCCAGCTGTCAAAGCATCATCACTGGCACCATGAAAGGACTAGTGCAACCCACAGTCTTGTTGTAAGGGATTGTTTTTCTGTTGAAAACAAACAAGCAACACTTGTGTCTATTACACACCATGGTGTTTAATTTAATTTAAGTGTCTTTCTAAAGTATGGTTCCTGTTATTATTATTATTATTATTACTATTATTATTATTATCATTATCATTACCATTATCATTATTAGTATTATTATTTATTTTATTTTTTATTATGATTATACACACTTGGTTTCTAAAGTAAGACAGCTGATGAAGCAGTGCCACAACTCGCAGTCTCAGTATTTCATGTCCTTTCTTAGAAAGCTGTTGTTTTTCATCATTCTTGACTAAACACAAGGCACGGTCGAACAATCCAGGGGTGCACTTGTTGGCAAATTTTTCCATGTCTGCAGGGTCGTATAGCCGCTGCCCTCCATCCTTGTAATGTTTAGTGAGACACTTGTGGAACGTTTTGAACTGCTCATCAAAAGTTGGCTCTGAAAATTAATAAAAAAATGTTTCTAATAAAGGTTGAAACTAGTCGTCTTTGTTTTGAATGTGTGGAAATTAAGAGTACGTCAATACAATACCTTCTAGCTTGTTGCATCTTTCTTTTAATGCTGCATTTTCGCGCTGTAATTTGGTGATTAATTGTTTTGCCTCTGCTAGCTCATTAACACTCTGCAAAGGGGCGGTCTGAGAGGTTCCATCCGTCCAAGTTATTTTCTTTTCTGGGGTAGTACATAGGACTGAAGTAGTACATTTTGTCTACAAATGTATAGGGCAAAATTTAATGCAAAATATGAATATTTTCTAAAACAAAACTAAGAATGTATGATCTGTTTCTCTACATTTTGACTGTTGTTTGAGTGTCAAAGAAACATACCTTTCTCGTAGTAGGGGGTTTGTAGAGAGCGTGGTTGGTAAATATGGGAGCTTCGTCCACGAGATTTAGGTGGCCTTGGCAAAGAAATGCACCTCCTTGGTAGTTTTCAAGGTTTGCTGCTACGGTGAGAATCCTCTGCGGACATGGCAGTAAATTGTTCCTTTGCGTGCAGGCATTTTCACTCGGAAAACAGCACCTCCTTTGACTTTCCACTTGCAATTTTTTTGCATGACCAAAACATAGCCAAACCGGCCTAGAGTAGCCACGTAGAACAGCCTCTTTTCCCGAATAATAATTAGTGGCACCCCAACACTTTTCTGACACGCTTCTTAATCTGGAGCCACGTTCACAAACATTTACCATTATTTAATCAACTTTGGACTGAAGTTTCCGCCGGAAACGCACGCAAAAAGACCGGAACTTGACAGTGAAGCGGTCGGTAACTATTTTTTGACATTTTTGAAGCTTTTTGAAGCGGGAAAAAACGAGCGGCGTCTCCAGTTTCATTCATAATTTCGCGCGCAAAGCATGAGGCCGGGAAGCTTGCGCCTACCAGTCAGTAAGTGGACACAAGCCGTAGGCGAAGAGTTTGGTGTTTACAAATCTTTTCCTTTTTTTACTTGTCCAAGGAAATATATTTTAGCGCTGCTATCTACCTTCTAAGTGCAAGAGGATCGATCCTTTTAGAGGTAAGATTGGCTGTACATTTGTGGAAGCTTCTCACCGGCGATTACGTTCGAGTGTTGTCGCCGCGAGGGGGATGCAAAAACAAAAAACAGCAAGCCACAGAAAAACGTACTGTTCGATTTTTTTACGTATTTCTTATTTTGCTTCTTGGCTTTTAGCCTTTTGGTTGGTCGAATTTTGAACCTTAAATACTCCACCTGTTTCTTATTTTTGCAAATTTTTTAAGAGCTATTGGTCGTATAATGTCTCTATGAACTACACACTGTTCCGCGCATTTTCATCAAGCACCCTAAAGTGTATTCCTGATCTGATTTCGCTACAACTCTTGACATCGCCTGTCAATGAGTTCTAGTTTGGGGATATCAGATCATAATCGCCGAACTAGTCATGGTTAACTATGTATTTGGCTTCAAACTTTGCTCTCTTTTGTAGACTACTTGATTCGTTGTAAGATGGTCAGCGGAGAGCACAAACTGCCGCGAAAACGGCAACCAATCAGCGGTTTTTCTGCCCTGCCATCTTGGTACCGTTCAGGAGAGATATTATAAAGAGAAAAGAGAATTTTTTATCCAGGCACCGACAGTTTTAAAACCCGGACAATGCTGGAACGTAGGCAAACCTTCGGCTGATTGTATTATACAGATATATGCTGCAGATAGTGGAATGACTCGTTTTGGAGTATTCGTTATCGGGTCATCTCGACACCAAAAATGTACACATTAAGATATTTATATTAGACATGCATTTTGGAAATCGGTTCTGACTATTCGGCATTCTTTTGAATTGGTAAAATGGGGTTGACAGACCTGCGCGGCTCCTGCTGTGTGACCGTTGTGTTGATATAAGCCTTTACAGTTTTGCTTTAACAAGCATGTCTTTAAGCGACTTTCCTTTTCTATAAGAGATCAAGGGAGGTTCCTTGAATATCTCTCTGAGTAGTGGCTGGTTTTCTATTAAATGCCATTTTTCCATTAGTATGTTTTTCAAACCTGGTAATGACGGTTGAAATTGCGTGACAAAGGGTAAAAGTATTTTTTGCGCTTTCTGTTTTTGTGTCAGAGCTGTCGCTCTATCTGCATATTTAACTTCTGAGAGGATCTTTTCTACCATACTCTCTGGGTAGCCTCTCGAGATAAGGCGTGTTTTAAAGTTTTTAATATTCTTGTCAAATATGACTTTAGAAGAGTTAGTTCTTAGAAGTCTAAGAGCCTCTCCTTTGACAAAACCTTTTTTTAACGCCTGGTGGGTGGCAGCTGTTAAAGTTAGTGTACTGAAACGTTTCAGTAGATTTAAAATGTGTGCGCACGTCGAGAATTCTTTCTTTCTCAAATCTCTCTCCCTTATAGACTGTCGTGTCCAAGAATGTGGTTTCAATTTGTGATATTTCAGCAGTGAACTTGATTGTAGGATGAAAAGAATTGGCTTGTTCAATGAAAAGATCTATATCTTCTTTGTTTGTGTCCCACAAAGAGAATATGTCGTCAATAAACCTTTTCCACGTTAGTGGTTTCCTTCTGCTTTGTTTTAAGATCTCCTTTTCTATTGTTGCCATAAAAATGTTGGCAAAAGCTACTGCCATTTTCGTGCCCATAGCAGTTCCGTGAGTCTGGAGATAGTCTTTCCCATTGAAATGGAAAGAGTTCTCTTTAAGGATAAGACTGAGCATTTCTTTAAGCAGGTGTGTAGCCATAGGAGGGTTTTTGTCATGAAATTTTTCGTATGCGTTGCATACTATAGTAATTCCTTCCTCCTGTGGGATATTCGTGTAAAGGCTGGTGACATCCATTGAGATTAAGAAAGCGTTACTAGGCACCCTAGTGTTTTCGATAAATCTTATAAAATGTGTCGTATCTTTAAGATACGAGTCTTGTATTTGTGCTATTGGCTGAAGTAGCTTGTCTACAAATGATGAGAGGCGTTCTGTGGGGCCATCGCACCCCGAAATGATAGGTCTTCCAACTAAAGTCGGTTTGTGTATTTTTGTGAGAGTGTAGAATACTGGAATTCGTGGCGGATCTGGTGTCTGGTTAAACCATTTTACTGTCATTTCGTCAATGAAACCTTCGTTATGTAGAGTGTTAATCAGGTGTTTAACTCTCTGGGATGTGTCCTTAACCATTGGTTTTTCCAAAGGTTGATATTTGTTTCTATCATCCAACTGTTTTTGTCCCTCATTTATTTTGTTCTCTCTTTTCATTATGACGGTTGTTGTGCCTTTATCTGCTTTCTTATAAAGTCACAGAGAATCACATCATCCACACCACAATTTCTCGATGAAGGCTTGCTTTGATTATTTCTTTTTTCGTTTCAGTTTCCTACATGTGTACCAACAGTACCTTGTAATATTGAACAGCCATTTGCGAAAATTTTTCTTTAAAAAGCGTTGTGCTCAGTTGTGTGTTGGAGGACTGTAATAATTAATTATCGTGCCAAGCTCGATTACCTTCCACACGACACGATAATACTGTTACTGCAATATCAATCTTGATCAATCGCGTCTGACTCATTTTAAGAAGGCCTGTTTTTTCAAAATACCTGAATCTCCCTTTTGTGATCGCAGATGATGAAGGTGAACCGCTTTCTTTAGGATGAAAATAGAAATATTCCAGTACAAGGAGAGGATGCCTGAGGATCGAGTTCGCCAGCATTCCTCAGTCTACGTCGAATCGATGACACGAATGCGAAATCTCTTTAACTCCACGATATCATATACCTTTTCGGAATTTTTTTCTCCGCTTGCACTGTCCTTCATAACCGAACTTTTCCTTTTTCTCAGCCATTTTGTTACTTTTTGGATTCATAACTGATATCATTAAGCGTGATGAGCGCAAACAAGCAGTAGTTGACTCTCTGGTGCGGTACGTGACAACGGAAATACCGTTGACTGCCTTTCATCCGGGTCTTCGTTCAATTAAAAAATCGCGCGAAAACACAATCGCCTTTCATTCGATCTTCGGCCGTTGGAAGTAACCGTTGAAGTCGTGGGTCGGTTGAACGAAGGTCTAATCATCGTGGATAGAGGATATCAAACTGAAAGGATTTACTCATTTCTTTAAGGTTTGTGTATAATTCACCTTCTATTGCTTTAGTCGTAATGTGTGGGTTCTTGTTCGTTTTAAATTTTTCTTGAAGAAGCGGTACCAACGTTTAGTGTGACATTCAGTACAACTGGGAGCCAAGTCAAACAGCACACTGACCTTATAGTTTAACTCCTGATCAAGCTTGTCAGCGCTAGTTATAGTTTGTTCACTTTTGAAAGTCCTATGGGAAACGTATTCTTTAGCGCAACTATCCGTGAATGATATTAAGTAGGATTTTTTAAAGAAGATTGTCACAGACCGTTTGTCAGTTATTATCAAGAGGTTTTTTGGCTGATGATGATCGAAAAAAAAGGGTTAAGTTAAATAAGCTTGGTGGTTATTGTTCCATTCAGTGACTGATAAATTTTTTTATAAGCGTATTTTATAATTCCTTACTTTACTGTTTCTTTACTTTTTTGAATGAAAAAACCATCGATGTGACGTGACCCTCAAGTTTCCGGAGCTTAACTTGTGGTTTTTTCTAAAAGTCTTGGCCGGTGCTACTGGAATGCGCCGCCTTTTCCGCTAAGATAAGATAAACAAATATTTGGAAGCACGGAATTGTCTTACTGTAAACAATTAAGTAAAAGTTGTTTGTGTTTGGTTTTAGACGGTTAAATTTATTTTCTTTCATGGCTAGCTATAATTGTTCTTCTGTATTACACATGTAAAGAGAAACCAGTCTAAGGGCACATCGGGTTTATGGCTCCTCTTGAATAGATCCGCGATATTCAAGTAGTGGCCGATAAATTTAAAAAACAATTAATACCATAAAGAACTCTTTAATGGAATAACTTTATTCTTATAATTGGCAAATTGTTCACCTTTAATATTTATGTCTTCTTTGCAGAGCAAAAGGGAAAGGCAAGTGGATCAAAGCTTTCCAATGTAAAGAAGGTGTTGTGGATAAATTAGAAAGTGGCGCAGACATGCAGCTGAGTTCTTATATAAATTATTATAAATACTAAAGTTGTATCAAATTTGATGTGAACTTTGAACAGCTTGCGATGGAACTAATAAATCATCATTAATGAAAATGGAATCCTTTGCTATAGGCTACAGGCAACAGTCAAGTATATTTCAATATAATATGACTTGCATTATCGTGTTTAAAAATGTACTGTTTATTATATTTTTAAAAGGTTTAAGTTAAAACTATGGCATGTCACTAAGATTGATCAACTTATTACGCGGCTTCTATCTAATTCTTATCCGTGCAACCACTCTAGCTAATCAAAAAACTAAGTTAAATGCTATCCAATAACTACCAGACATCTAGTTTATTGCTATCCAAACATTAGTTTTTAGTTATTAGACATCTATTTTATTGCTATCCAAACACTAGTTTTTAGATATCATACATCTAGTTTATTGCTATCCAAACACTAGTTTTTAGTTATTAGACATCTATTTTATTGCTATCCAAACACTAGTTTTTAGATATCATACATCTAGTTTATTGCTATACAAAGACTAGTTTTTAGTTATCAGACATCTGCTTTAAAGCTATCCAAACACTAGCTTTTAGCTACCAGACATCTAGTTTAAAGCTATCCGAACACTATCGTTCAACTAGTTTATGTCTAGTTTATTGCTATCTATCGTGCCATTAATACATGTAAATTGCTAGTTAACTTCTATCTAATGACTAGTTTCTAACTATGTCAATGATGTCATTATTGGCAAAAACGTATCCGAAAACTAGCTTCTTAGCCGATAAAAAGCTAGTTTTACTCTATCTTATGTGTATCCAAAAGCTAATTATTGCAGCCATGCAAAAATTTCCTTTTTAAGATAGTATTTAGATAGCCTATCTGCATGGTTCCAAATAACTAGAAATTAGTTATTATTAAGATAGGCTTAAGATAGTAATTAGTTATTAGTGGCACACAGGGCATGAAGATAGGAATAAACTAGAAACAAGATAGCTTGTTGATAGTTTCATTAACTAGCTTTAAGATAGAAAAAAGATAGTGTCTCATTTCGTAAGGGTAAGGATTATTTCTTTGTTTTGAATAAGTTCACGGAGCGCTCGGCGCTCCCCAGGCGGCAGATTGTTTTTAGGTTTATTTAGTGGCACTTCTGTTAGCCGTAGTTTGACTTCCTCTAAATAGGATTCTAGAGCAACTGACCGTTGAACTGGGGGAATCCAACTAGACTTCACATGGAAGGGATGTGGTACAGTATCTTTGCCATGATAAATGTATTTGAGGCGCATCCTTCTGGCAAATTGGTTAAAGTCTGAAATTAGTTGGCTCCTTATCTGGTTTTCTTTCATGACAGGAGTTGGAATGAATTTCAAACCGCGAGAGAGTAAATTTATCTGCTCTGTTGTTAGTTCTGTGTCTGAGAGGTTCTTAATGTGTTTTTTGCGTGTGTCTATGGCTTCGTTATATAGGTTAATGTGTTTGACATTTTTCTGCTTTCTTCTCCTGTGATTTCTTTCAGTCAGTGTTTTACTATTTATCCCCTTCTCTTTTCCCTTGTTAGAAACAGAGAGAACACTGGGATACGATTCACTTTGTTTATTCTCAATATCAGTAAACTTTGACATCATTTGTGAGAACTTGTCGAACTTAGCTTGGAGGTCTGATGCTAACTTAATTACATCAGTGCTTTTCATTACATTGTTTTCTCTAGTCGCCGATGGCGTCTTATGCTCTCTAGTTTGAACAACATTGGTCGCTTTCCTGAAGTGAGGCTTATCCTTCTCAACCTTTTTTCGTTTGTTCTGAAGACGATCAATGCGTCTTTGGTGAAACTTCGCTAACGAGTGAATGAATTCTTGTTCGGCAGTTTTTCCAATCGAGCCTATTTCTCGTTTAAATTCTTCGTCTGGCGTGATATTTGCACGCACGTTGTATCTTAGTGTCTTTGGACATGTTCTGTCCTTCATGTGTTTTCTCAGTTTCGTGATGGCTGTCTCTGATTTTTCAATCTTTGTCTCTAAGGAGGCGGCTTCGGCGGCTCTGCGTGGTGTTTTGCCGTTATGGGTCTGATCGTTAGATTGGTCCCGTTTTCGTTTTCTATCGTTATGGTACTGTTCTCTAGGAACTCTTGCTGTCTTCTGGCGGGTAGGTTGAGAGTCAGGTATAGTTTCAGAGTCGTCAGTAATGGCGCTTTCGTTTCCTTCACCTTCTGTCTCGTCAAGGAGTAGATTTTCCTCTTCAGCGTCCATTGGAGACTCATCTGTTTCTTCTGGCTGAGGTGGTCTAAGTTGACCGTCTTTGGTGAGAATTGAATATTCCATGTGTAGATGTAAAAGCTGAAGCAAGACTGCAGTTTCGATTCTACTAGGGAATCTCGTCAGTTGCTAGAGGTATATCTCATGGATAGTGGTAACGTAAAGAGGTTACAGCCGTTTATATAACGCTCAACGGATCGAAAATGCGCGCCTGTTTTTCTATTGGTCCATAGATTCTGGCCAATGACGTGAGTCTTTTGCGATTTCGATCCGACATACAGTTGTGTTTCTATAGAAGGCTTTCTCGTCAGTATTTGAACAATGTAGGTTATTGTCCTCTCTGAAAAGTACATAGACTTTATAAGTAAATATTACTATTCAACATCTCCAAAGATGAAGATCTGGATATTCGTATGTACTGGGTACATTTTCTTCTTTTGTATCATTGTACATGTTCAAATTCTGATTGTCTGGCACGTCGCAGGACGGGGTCATGTCTAAAAATATCAAGCATGGTAAAATGGGGTTGACAGACCTGCGCGGCTCCTGCTGTGTGACCGTTGTGTTGTTATAAGCCTTTACAGTTTTGCTTTAACAAGCATGTCTTTAAGCGACTTTCCTTTTCTATAAGAGATCAAGGGAGGTTCCTTGAATATCTCTCTGAGTAGTGGCTGGTTTTCTATTAAATGCCATTTTTCCATTAGTATGTTTTTCAAACCTGGTAATGACGGTTGAAATTGCGTGACAAAGGGTAAAAGTATGTTAGTCCTTTTCACTTCCTTGGAACGCAAAACAGTTCCAAATGTCGCGCCGGGTTCGTTTTGCAGGGTTAATATTGGTGGAATTAGGTTTGGCACCGCTACATTCGACTGCTGGGTTCGTTAACCTTGCCCAGCGAAACAGCCGTTGAGGACTTCATAGCAAGTCAGGCGCCACAAAGTTCCTCGGAGGAAAGTGAATAGTTTGAGTTCCCCTCACTACCAAGAAAATTCGCAATATTCGCTTGCGGTTAATAAATCCCCGCGATTTCTATTTTCATACGCACGCTCGACGATCTTAAAAGAGAAACTACAGGATATAGGAACAGGCTAGCCTTTCCCGGGTTTGAGAGATTTCTAGACAATATTTGCTCCTTCCAACAAATTTTACAGAAAAAAAGTCATTGGGTGCCCCTGGTATGAAAGTTCCAAACGATTCATCAGTAGGACATGCTGCCTCGCGACGCGTCGTGTTTGTTATAGAGCGTTTTCTCATGACGTCACGGCGGCCATGTTGGTGTTCCAAAACAATGAAACAGCGGCCATGTTGGTATACCAAACAGTTCCTGTGGGAGTTGAACTCTTTTCTTATGTAAACTCTTTCTTTTGTTCCAATAAATTTGCATAAATGCTGGCCACGTTAGAGAAAACGCTCTATATCAGGAGCTAGGGTGTTTCTTTTGGGGAATCATTAACATATGAGGCTTTCTTCCTTACTGCAGGGACAGTCCCAGAGTTTTCAATTTTCTCTTTCCTTTTGGTACTTCTCCTTCTCAATCTGGTGAGACAGATTTCTTGGTGAGTACCTTGATCTAGCCATTTACATTTCCTAGTTTAAGATTCGAATATTCAGTTTCAGTTCTTGAGATGCCAACGAGGAAATTAGTAGAGAGAGTTATTTGTTTCCAGTCTTTCCTTCTTCTCGGAAAGCGAAACGATTTCTTGTTGATGATCGGTGGTAGGGCAAACTAAGATTTCTTTCGTTGCGATTTCTAAATACCGGCAGACTCTACATCAACAAAAGATTTTGAGAACTTGATTACAAGGACAATGGCTACTTTAAAGCATTGCAAAGCATTACCCGCTTATTCAAACTATTTAGTTTGACGTCTCTTATATAACCTTGTTTATATTCGTGCACGTGCATATGAAACTTGAAAACAATGCCAGTGAATAATGAGGACGCACACTTGTAAACTCAAAATCTAAGGGAACAGTTGGTTATATTTGAAGCCCTATTTAAAAGCCTTCGCTGTTTTCAATATTCTTAAAACTTACAGGGTATATTTATTGACAATTGATCTCGGGATTGTGTAGTTTATAACAAAAATTATCGAGCGGTTTTCTGAATAATGCGAAATTTGTAGGCATGTACCAAATTGCATGCAAAAACTGTAACAAAAGCAGCTGAACGCAGGTTAATAAAATTCTTCTTACTCGCGATCGCCCAGAGCAATTCTCTTCTTTTTTCTGTACGCAGTTTTCAATGGAATCAAACTACTATGAGATGACGCCGCTTTTTCAAAGCTTATCATTTTCTTAAAATATTAGCTAATTGTGTAGATGGTATGCTATTTCACTGTTTTTATAATTCTTAAGACTTCGTTTCAAAATATTTCCAAAACGCTCCCATAGAATTTGTTCAAACTTTGCAATAATTGAGGCGATTATGGCAGGTACATACTCCCTTAAGCGATTTCTTCAAAAAACTTCTGGTACAGAGAAACACAAAGATAAATAACAATACGTAATGGCGTCATTGCGTTGCCATGGCGACTCCGATAATAAATAATAAAACCCAGATCATAAGAAATTTTCATCTTTATATAATACAGTTGTGGTAATCTTTTTCCCATATCTTTACTCATGCCGACGTAGTTAATGCTCAAACTTGGGAGGTATCAACCCCAAAAAATCCAGTCGAGCCACCTTAAGTTCAGCGTTTGGACACTACTATACCTAATATTACCGCTGAGTCACTGACCTTTTGGCTGATAAAATTGGTGAAAGAACAAAGTTTGATTTTGTGCAATAGTAAATTTACTTCGCGTGTTATTTTGAAAGAACATTAAATATTCACCCACCATTTGTTGTGTCAGTTGCTGTGCTGATAATTAATATTCATAAGTATAAGTCACATGCAGTGACTTTATATCTGATAAAACACCGCATACTAATAAGGGGAGATTTTATCGATATAAAGTCACTGCAAGTGATGTATTATCGACTATTTGATAGGTCAATGGGCTTTTGAATTATTAATTAGTTTTTAAAGGATCTGTCACGGAGTTTTTGTGTTACATTTCGTCACGCGTGACATTTTTGGTCTTAAATGTAGGCGATCACGTTTGGAGCACGTGATCTTGTGACATTTTGAACTGAGTAGTTTTTCGATTGAGAATAGATTTTTGATTACAGTACACTTTTGAGAGAATTGTAATTTTTGTCGAGGACTAGTGTTCGATTTTGAAGTCCGAATGTTTTGCCAAGTGTATCGGTTTTGAAGGCCTTTACTGTTGGAGTCCTATTGGTTTCAAATAAAATCTATCACAGGTTCACGCAACGCCCTCTGGGTTAGTGGGTTAATAAGTGATAGTGTTCATTTTTCGACAAAGAAAACTACCCATTTTATGAACTAGGGCGTGCCTTGAGGCAACCCAGGTAATAAAAGCAAGAGGGGATTGGATCAATTGCTGGATGAGTTTTTTTACTTTTACGTACAGCTGTGTATTATCCCCTGAAAAGAGATTCGTATTCCAATTGAGTTTTCATAACCTGAGATCAGGCCTAATTTTAGCGGTTCTCATACATTTTCTCTAACGGCCACAGGAATGTTATTTACAAAGCGAAAAGAAAATTGAGCCTGATCCCAGGTTAGGTTTTCATAACGGACCAATGTAGTCTGAGACCAGAATGTAGATGGACTCGGTGGAACTATTAACAAAGGGGAAATAAACGTCTTGCTAGTAGAGGACACGGACCGAAGAAACTTATAAAATCATAAGATATAGTTAAACAAACATCTGTTCGTAAATTCTTCATATTTGCAGCATTGCGAGTTTTCACCGATGCTGAGCTTTTTAAGTCAATGAATTTGGGGCCTGGCGCCCGTTTCTCGAAAGTCCCGATAATTAACGGGCCCGGTAAGCTGTCTCCATTTCCATTAAAGATCGAGGTTTCAATAGTTTTGCATCTAACATGACTACACTATCAGTTAATGAAACAAAATGAAGTAGTTTGCGAGCCAGGACCCGCGCTCTTATTCTTTATATTTCGATTTGAATATTTGATTTCGGGCCCGAAAAGTAAACGGGACTTTCGAGAAACGGGCCCCTGCAGCCTAGATTACAGGTTCTTTCCTGTAAAACTGATGGCAAGGTGTTTGAAAAAATAAATCAAAAACGGAAAATAAATAACAGTTGTTTGTCTTGTTCAGCAGATGCGTTGAGCTCGTATGAGAATGGATGTGACGTGGAAGGCAGGGTCTTCTCTCAGTACCTCACCGAACCTTATCCCCACACGCGGGCTCGTTACCCGTAGACGGAAAATACATATAAAAATTTGATAACTAACCTGTTTGGTTACGACAGTTGATAAAGTTTTCGCTCTATGGAAAACGGAACGCATATCAAACATTAAATACCCTAGGTGACCTAGGGAGCTACCTCCATGATGTCAATCTTTTGGCAATCATTAAAATGACAGAACAAAGGATGAAGTAATGAAGTTTCTGATTGGTGGACAAAATTATTGTTAACCATCAATAAAATTTCGCGTGCAATAATTTTAACTTTTGAAACATCACTCGTGCCATAAATAAAGAAATGTACTCGAATTCATACGATTTTCTATACTTACTACATTTGTGGTTAAAATGTTTATAATTTATTACATTTATGGTTCGGTTTTTCATTACATTTATGGTGGATATTACATTTATGCAGTTTATGGTTCACTTTTATTATATTTATGGTTAGTGTTACTGTTATTTAGCAATTATTGAATGAGGCTGAGTAGGATGTGAAGAATAATGCAGATTTAGGAGGATGTTATCGGCCTAGGTGGATAATATCCTCCAAGATCTGCATAATTCTTTTCATCTTACGAAAGCCGAAGCTTATCTTCTCGAAGACTTTCTTCAAAACTTTAGGCTATTTCTCGGCATGGTTTCACGATATAACATATGTTTTTCCTTGAAGATACTCCTCAAAAGTAAACAACATCCGATCCCTCCAGGGATACGTTTTGCGTATTCTTGCATTACTTAACTTAACTCAGGAATAAAGAGCTAGGCTACCGCGTCTGGAAAGGAGTTTGATCGATTTTATATTATACACAGTGTTTTGTTATATTTCTAGATTTTCACTTCAACAGGAACAAAAGAATAACCGGAACGAATCAAAACAGTCGACTCGGTACTTATAAGAACACAAATTTAATTCTCAAAACCACTGAATGAATGATTTACAAAGTACTTTCTTATATTATCTGCATCTTTTTACTCCACTAGCTGCTGTTTCTCTTCTGCGATAACTTTAAAAATCATTGCTTTTTTTGCTTGAGGCTTCGTGTTTGTGTTGTTGTGTTCATTCACGAAAAAGAAAACTGGCAGTGTTGGTTTTTCCCGCCCCCTGTCACTCCACTTTCCACCATGCTTTGATCACGTGCTGTAATGTATCCCGAGCAGGGTGCATTGCTTCATGTATCACGATCGGGATACATTTGATTTTAGTCAAGGCGACATGACCAAGAATCAACCAATGGCAGTCCCGTTTAGTTGAGTGAAAGTCTAGGAATATAACAAATAGATGATATTACATGGCCGCGCGAAGATACGAAATTTCTCCTCGCGTGTTGAAAAAATATTTCACGAGTGAGCGCAGCGAACGAGTGAAAAATTCTTCAACACAAGAAAAGAAATTTCTTATCTCCAAGCGGCCATGTAATTTTGTATTTATTTTATAAACACCAATGAAATACCAAACCATTTCGCCTCAATATTTTTTAAGTCTAAGAGAAGGCGAATGTGTCAGAACTAAAAATGGAACAAAGTAGAAAGCCTTTAAATACAAATTCCTCTTCTTTACAATTTAACAAAGGGCTATCCTAAACTATATATGGCTCATAGATTTTTTCATTTTTTACACTTCTTAAAATAGCTTTTGCAATACTATATAAAGCTCGTTGTTGTTGTAAAAGCTTAAGGCTGAAATTGTTTTATTTTCCAGAATTTTGAACAGTATGGTACAGTAGGTTACAAACTATTCTGTAAAACTATTTATTTAGATATTCTGCATTTGCAGATTCAAGAACTATAGAATAGGCCAAAGAAATGATAGTCCAACACTTATTATCCTGACCTACCTCAGTAAATCTTACATGACAGCTTGATTATCTTGCCTAAGCTTAGGAAGTTAAACTGTTCAGTTAAAAAGATGTTAAGAATCTTGTTTCCACTTTCTTACTCTTGAAATATTTTTCTTCTCAAGGTTAAGAAAAAAACGTCATGGACAAAGTCTTGGAGATTCGACAGACCATTCATATTGGTGTAGTCGTTGCAACTTTCCTTTTCAACACTGGACGTATTATAAAAGCAGTAGCCATCTTTAACGAATGTTTGGTGCTCCTTAACGGTAAAGCCCTAGAGACAATCAAAGAACTTACCACACCACTTCTTATCTATGTATACTATAACCTTCTTGATGGCTATACTCTTGTGTGCGATCACACCCGTGCTATAGAATGTGGTAAAAAGCTTTTAGTGACACTACACAATAGTGGCCAAAAAGAAGTAGAAGGGATGACATTACTTAAACTAGGGAACATCTACTATGAAAGAAGCAAATACGAAGAAGCAAAACGGTTTTACGAGAAGGCACTCAGCATCATGATTGAGGCTGGAAATAATCGCGAAGTTGGAACAAGTTACGGAAGTCTAGGAGCTGTGCTTGTTTCTGTTGGTCAATATACTAAGGCTGAAGAATACCTTCAAAAAGCACTAGTGATCAGTAAAGAAATCGGTGACAAAGAAGGAGAAGCAGCAAATTACGGAAATCTAGGAACTGTGTTTCAATCTGTTGGTCAATACACCAAGGCTGAAGAATACCTTCAAAAAGCACTTGTGATCAGTAAAGAAATCGGTGACAAAGAAGAAGAAGCATCAGATTACGGAAATCTAGGAACTGTGTTTCTTTCTGTTGGTCAATATACCAAGGCTGAAGAATACCTTCAAAAGGCACTAGTGATCAGTAAAGAAATCGGTGACAAACGAGGAGAAGCATCTGCTTACGGAAATTTAGGAACTGTGTTTCAATCTGTTAGTCAATATACTAAGGCTGAAGAATACCTTCAAAAAGCACTAGTGATCAGGAAAGAAATCGGTGACAAACAAGGAGAAGCATCTGCTTACGGAAATCTAGGAACTGTGTTTAAAACTGTTGGTCAATATACCAAGGCCGAAGAATACCTTCAAAAAGCACTGGTGATCAAGAAAGAAATCGGTGACAAAAAAGGAGAAGCATCTGCTTACGGAAATCTAGGAACTGTGCTTCAATCTGTTGGTCAATATACCAAGGCCGAAGAATACCTTCAAAAAGCACTAGTGATCAGGAAAGAAATCGGTGACAAAAGAGGAGAAGCAGCTGCGTACGGAAACCTAGGAACTGTGTTTCAATCCGTTGGTCAATATACCAAGGCTGAAGAATACCTTCAAAAAGCACTAGTGATCAGGAAAGAAATCGGTGACAAGGAAGGAGAAGCATCTGCGTACGGAAATCTAGGAAGTGTGTTTCAATCCGTTGGTCAATATACCAAGGCTGAAGAATACCTTCAAAAAGCACTAGTGATCAGGAAAGAAATCGGTGACAAAAAAGGAGAAGCATCTGCTTACGGAAATCTAGGAACTGTGTTTCAATCTATTGGTCAATACACCAAGGCTGAAGAATACGTTAAAAAAGCACTAGTGATCAGGAAAGAAATCGGTGACAAAAAAGGAGAAGCATCTGCTTACGGAAATCTAGGAACTGTGTTTCTTTCTGTTGCTCAATATTCCAAGGCTGAAGAATACCTTCAAAAAGCACTAGTGATCAGTAAAGAAATCGGTGACAAACAAGGAGAAGCAGCAGATTACGGAAATCTAGGAAATTTGTTTTTTTCCGTTGGTCAATATACCAAGGCTAAAGAATACGTTCAAAAAGCACTAGTGATCAGGAAAGAAATCGGTGACAAACAAGGAGAAGCAACTGCTTACGGAAATCTAGGAACTGTGTTTCAATCTGTTGGTCAATATATCAAGGCTGAAGAATACCTTCAAAAAGCACTTGTGATCAAGAAACAAATCGGTGACAAACGAGGAGAAGCAGCAGATTACGGAAATCTAGGAGCTGTGTTTCAATCTGTTGGTCAATATACCAAGGCCGAAGAATACCTTCAAAAAGCACTAGTGATCAGAAAAGAAATCGGTGACAAAAATGGAGAAGCATCTGCTTACGGGAATCTAGGAACTGTGTTTCAATCTGTCGGTCAATACACCAAGGCTGAAGAATACCTTCAAACAGCACTAGTGATCAGGAAAGAAATCGATGACAAACAAGGAGAAGCACTAGATTACGGAAATCTAGGAACTGTGTTTCAGTATGTTGGTCAATATACCAAGGCTGAAGAATACCTTCAAAAAGCACTTGTGATCAGAAAAGAAATCGGTGACAAAAGAGGAGTGGCAGGTGCTTACGGAAATTTAGGAACTGTTTTTCAATCTGTTGGTGAATATACCAAGGCTGAAGAATACCTGCAAAAAGCACTAGTGATGAGGAAAGAAATCGGAGACAAAGCTGGTGTTGGAGCTTCATACTTAAATCTGGGAAAACTTTGTCGAGAAGTTCAACTTACTGCAAAGAGTCAAGAATTTGCTAATAAAGCACTTGAGATAAGTTACGAAATAGGGGACATTGAAATGCAATTTAACAGCCACCTGACCATTGCTATGAACGAGTTAGTGGCAGGAGGAAACACAACTGAAGTTCTGCGAAATCTGCATGAAAGTATTCAAAAGTGTGAAGAAATGCATGATTTTTTAAGAGTGAAAGATCCATTCAAAATTTCTTTTTTTGATAAGCACGTGTCCCCTTACCTTCTTCTTTGTAGGTTGTTGATTGCTACAAGGAGTTATTATGAAGCTCTTTACGTTGCTGAGCTTGGACGATCCAGAGCGCTGACAGACTTACTTTCAGATAAGTACTCTGTGGAAAAAGGGCTATCAGGCAACCCACAGTCATGGATTGGTATTGAGAACATCATGAACGAAAATGCACTTAGTTCTTGTCTTTATGTTTCCTGCTTCGCTGATAATATGTACTTTTGGATCCTCGAGCCAAACAAAATTATAGTTTTTCGACAAACGAGACTCAAAGAAAGTGCAGATAAAGTGTTTGGAAATCAGACATTTGGTGGCTCTCTTCATTTACGTCAAGACCAATGCGAAGATCGATCATTATTTTCAGATGTAAGTTCCCGCTATCATGCAACAATCTCAGAGTGACAGCTTCTTGAATCTTTGCGTCTTATCGAAGGAAGATTTAAGACGAAAATCACGACTCTAAACCTTTAACCCTTGCTGTTGGTTACAATACGATAATGTTCTAGAAGGATCATTCTAAGAATCAGAAATCATTATTATATCGGATAACTTGTTGTATCCTATTCCTTTGCTGCCTTAAAGGATGGTAATGGAAAGGTATTTATCGGATATCAGGATTCGCATTGTCCTTCCTTGACGACTCTTAAGTTGATTCAGCTCAGTCCAGCAGACTATCATAGTAAAACTGGTGCACTGATCGTAGGAGCCAGACGTTAGTGATGCATACTACCAAGGAAAGTCGATTGGTTACCGTTACCGCCTGGGGCGAGAAAGGAAGCAGAGATGATTGGGCGACTGCTCGCGTTCAAACTGTTGCTTGGTGCTGATGCAGCAATACGCAACTGAACGAAGCACAATTGAT